TGTGTGTGTGTGTGTGTGTGTCTGGGTTTCTCCATTGTCAGGGGCTTAAGCGCTGGAGCCGGCTTTTTCCCGCCAGTGCGGTGTTTTGTGGGAGGGGTTTTGGCTGGCCTCAGCAGCAACAAAGAGCCAGAGCTTCCCGCCCGATATGCAAATAGGCTGAGGCTGGGCGGGGCAGGGAACCTCCCCTACTGCAGCACTTAACACTTTCACTTCCACACTGGAAGTCAGCAGAGTGCAGACAGACAGTGCGTGTTCCTTGTTGCTCATTCATCCTCAGCAGGACAGAACAGTGAGCAAAGTCTAAAGAAAGGACAGTTGAAGGTTATATACCCTAAAGTATATATACTATGTACACATTTTCACTGTATTTTGGCAGTTATTATGCAAAATTCATTATTTACTTTATCCATGGCCAGATTAACCTGTTAGGGGGCCCCTGGGGGCAAACATGAGCTACTGGAATCCTATTTAACCTCTGTTCTTCTCACTCTCTTTGCAGAGTGTTCAGTGTTTCTATACAGGACTATTATGTGGCCCCAGATTTGCTGTGTGGAAAACAGCACCTCCTTTATCCTCTTTCAGTTCATTGTTTTGGTTTTCCATCCTGCAATTAAACTGTTTGTTCAGTCTTCAATTTCCAGACGAAGCGGGCAGCTGTTGTCTGCCAAAATGCTTATCCAGGAGTTGTTAAAGAGCTAGCTAATGTTGCTCCATAGATCTACTGAATGTGTAAGTTGGCAACTGCTGCCATAATTAAGGCAGTATTGTATTTATAACTTGTTAACCCCCAGGTAGACAAAATATCAATGAATGCAAGGTAAATCAAACTACCACAAACCAGTTGAGACACTTTCGGTGGCCCCTGGGGGCATTTGTCCATTTTGCCTCATTGGTAATCCACTCACCAGAAGACGTGCGCTGACTAAATTCAATAAAGCTACAACTTTGGGAAGCCGCTTACACTTTTTGGAAACTGTTTTGGGAAATAATTTGCAGCAAAAATTCCTGTACAGAGGATTCTCACCTGAACTTCTAAATTTAAAGTTTCATTGTGTTACTGATACTTCACTTTGGTTAAAAGTTAGTGCTCTGCTAGCTAGGTATTGTAAAACCAGAGTGTGTGCATGTCCACTTGTGTGTAACAGCCCATGGCTCACTCATGTTTTAAGTGTGTTATGCAACCCAACGTAACATTAGATGGCATGTAGACCAATAGCAGCTGTCTTACACACATGTGCTCGCGCACACATCCTCTTCACCCCATTTTTAAACAAAAGGCCCTATTATATGGAGAGGTTGTGTGCTTCAACATGCTAAGCAGAAGGCAGGATGGAGACTCGACATGGTCTCACACACACCTCATACGCTGTCAAATATTTCAGATACTGATACTCCATTTATGCATTACAAACTATATCATTGTAGTGTACACTAACTCAAATCTGCTCCAGTATCATGACAGTGTGGCCAGTTCATTTGTGAGAAACATGAGAGTTGTGCAGTTTACAATAGACATTCAACATATGTGATATGTGAGCCAATACACTGAAGTTATGTAATGTGCTCCTGTGATTCTTTAACTAGCGTGGTCATGCAATTGGTTTTTTCTCCTAGAAGCAGTAGTTGCCTGTATGTGACTAAATTCAAACAGTTTATAAAGTTGATGAATTGAACACTTGCAGTATTTGAAGCTTTTCTCAAGTGCTATACTAGTTGAGAAATGAGGATATAAGTGGATCATTACAGTGTTCTTAGAGATATGCCTGTTGTTCCTCCTGCAATAAGGTATTAGATCTGAAGTGATGGCATCCATGGCTCACATGTGGTTTATATACGATATCATTTCTAGATTACATTCTAAACTATATTGACCCTTAAAGTCTTGTGATTTTCTACAAAACATAACTAAAACATTATATTAACTACATTTGTTCAAGTTCTCACAAGTCACCAAACAACCAACTTTAAAATAAACAGTGCCAAAATGTATTAAATGCCCCCAGAATTCCTTATTTTAAATTCTTAGAAACACATTTCCTCACATAGCTACACAAATACACGTGCACACAGAAATGTTAGTCAGCACAGTTGATTAGCACATCTGTATAGCGCAGGCTGTGCAGAGCAGCAGTTGGTAACGACACCCGGGCTGATTTACATTGAGTACGATGACTGTCTGCTGATATGAAGCATGTTTGTGGTGGTTTGTGCATCAGTTATGTGTGTGAGAGGGAGACAAAGAGGGGGAAAAAAAGGACACTGTTTATTGTTGCTTGTGTGTGTGTGTGTGTGTGTGTGTGTGTGTGTGGGGGGGGGGATTCAGAGTTCTATGAAAGGTGGGAGGGGAAGCCAATGGTGTGAAACCACTGTTGAATGTGTATCACACACACAGTTTGGCTGATAAGGTGTTCTTTCCTCGGGGCAGTTAACGGTTAATGGCTGATCCGTTTGGGCCGAGCCCTGCTGCAGCCGCACAGCTTTAAGAGGGGAGGAACAGGGCAGGAGGGGAATTTGCAAAACATTTCAGGGGAAGTTTTGGATTATCTGAACTACCTGCGACGGTTGAAACTATTTAACTGAAAACAAAATGTCCCTGCTCATGACCCTGTTTGCTCTGCAGGCGCTTAAAATGACTATAGTTTCAGAAATATTGTCTCATCACTTGTCCACTGCCGCTGTGGTGAAGGTTCCACCTACATTATAATAATATAAAGCTGACAATGATGTTCTGTATTTGCATATTTTACTCCCTCATTTCATTATAAAATGTCTTGTAAATTACCTCTTTTTTTGAAAGGCCCTGTGTGTACCAGACTATTGAAAAGATGTGGGTAAGGTGCTAACCTTTAAATAATTCCACTTGTCTGGGTTTTAATGAGTTTTTAATGTCCCATGATGAAGGCTTGACCACCCTGGCAAGAATAAAGGTCCAGAAAAAACACTTATAACCTGTAGATTTTGATTTTGAAGTCAACATTTACAGTTAATTTCCTTATAAAATCTGCAGGAGCGTCTGTGCCTTCAGTTTCACCTGCTTACCTGATTTAACTTTCTGTTATTTTCTGCCTATATAGCCCATTAGAAGGCAGTAAATAACTGACGCTTGTCAGGAGTAACGCAGTTTTGAAATTGAATGAATTCCATTAGGGAAGTAAAGTGAGACATTGGTTCCTTATTTATTACATGACAGTTAGGGCACGAAGCCAAGCCAGACCCTGGACACATACGATTAATTCTCCTTTCCAAACTAAGAGATACCACATTTGCCTACTATCTTTTTTTCATTTCATGTGTCTGTGTATCTTTACTTCTTTGTCTGTGTGTAAGCTGTTGTTGCATTTGGCCCTATAAGATGGTACAGTATCTGCCTGCTGCTCTCTTTTCCATATATAACTTCTGACAGGCTCTCCTGTGTCCCCCTGCCCTACTTTACACCTTCCAGCAGCACTCACACTGAACAGTACAGATGACTGGACTGTGTGCCTCGAGCCAATTCTTTAGTTAAAAACTTTTTTACAACATTCACCACTACTGGTAGTGATACACCAAAGGTGACGTTTAAGTATTGGATGTAATTTAATTATCAAACATTACTGCTTACGTGAGAAAAACAATTCAATTCCATCATTAATTGTTTAGTATTTCATTAGTGCCAAGTCCTTCTTAGCTGGGGTGAAGTCTGTTTTGATCCTTATAAAGCAGATTACCCATCTGTATTTATCTTAATTGGTTTGTTTAGCAGTCTTACATAAATTGATCTTTTGCTGCCCCCTTGTGGTAAGAGAGTGCACATGACTGAAGCACATCCTGAAGTAGGAGAACACACTGTACCACCAGAGGCTTTCAATTATATGACTAACTGATTAATATGCTTTTTGATTTATCTTCCAGGTACCTACTTTCAAACATATTTGTTATGTTTCGGTATTGTAATGATCATCTTCTTCATCAACTTTAGAGTATTACTCAAGTAGGAAGCATAAAACACTTATAAGACTTACACTATTGCTCTCATTTATAAATATTTGCAATCCTACATAAAGGACAGGTTCACAGCTTCACAAAATCTGTCTTGAAACAATCGTCAGATGCCCATATGAGCACTGACACAGGTTGAGCTTGCTGTCATCATTCCTCCTCTTCTCATACTGAACAAGAACAGTACCGTGTTAGACTCTGCACTCTGCTATCTTGTTCCCAGTTTTTCTTTAAGTCAAGATAGCAGCGTGCGGTTGGGAACAAGATAGCAGCGTGCGGTTACTTTTATAATTTTGTTTATGCAGCTAATTGTTACCCATTTATGGATGTGTGTGTTCCTCCTGATGATTTCCTGTTCATACTGGCCTTTAATAGATCCCTTCCTAATGCGAGTCCAATGGAAGTGATGTTGAACCAAATCTACAGCATATTCCAATCGAAAAGATCAAATATATTACATATGACATGAGGTTTCATCAGTCTGAGTTAGTCTGATCAGCTGGGTATCTGCCATATTTATAGTCTTTCTAGTATTTCCTTTTTATGTATTCCAGACAGTGTTTCCTTGTTGAGCCATAGTGGAGGAATTTCATACTACAGAGACTGTAACTTTGGAAGATTTTTTTTTTACAGATGAGAACTGTGGATTTTATCATTAGCTAATAACAACAGTATGAAGATGTTCGGTGTTCATGTTGGGCACCTGATTATTGTTGAGTCTTGAAAAACTTTGTATATTGATTGTATATATGTGTCTAGAATAGGTGTTAGTTAACTAAATATATTATATCATAGCTATTGAGATGATGCCCATTAGCACGTTAGCTCAAACTAACTGCTCCACTAGCTGCAGCACCTAGCAGCACTACTCATATCATCATTCTGGGTGCTTACAGCTAACCATAAATTGTTTATCATTGTTTTTTGTTGAATCAGTGTTGCATCCATAATACACGTAATGAATAATAGACCAAATGTAACGGTTGGAACTCTAAAGCAGTACAAACACAGAACATCAGTGGTTGAATGTAATAAATGACAAGTTTATTGTTGCACAAAATGTACAAAATAACAAGCAAATGGACAGCCCCTACCCACCCCTTAGCGTCCCTCCCCTCCCACTGGTTCATTCGCCATAATGAAGCTGAATTTCTGAAACCTATGACTACGGCAAGTCCGATGGTCCAAGCCAAACGCATGGTAATTCTGAGAGACAACACATACCCAATTTCAGCGTCACTGAACAATTAAAAATGAATAAAAACACCTTATTTACACATTTCTGTCAGAACTTTTACAACATGCCATCTATATATTTATACAGAATATGCTTGTGCACATACCCCTGTATAGAAAATATATTATTAAGATCAAATTAAATTAGACTAAGGGCTATAGACATCCAAAGTACAGCACTTCTTTTTAATCTCCTTTTTGAATCTTTTTTATTTTTATTTCCCACTTAATCAATTACTTAGTTCTTTAACAACCTCTTACTAAAAGAACGAACTCTAGTTGTATGCAGATGTCGATGTGTTTTTCCTCGAAGACCCAAGCTGACCATGTAGATGCCTGCCGAGAAAAGCCTCACATATTTACACTGGAACACTCAGAGCTCTCCCTTGAAATGTGTAGATTTGACCGCCTTCTGACTTGTGTGTGTCATCTTATGTTGTTTCTCATCCTCGTACATACTTTAAAATGGTGATCGGTGATGTTTTTCAGAAAGTTGTATCCCCTCAAACCCCCCACTCCTCGAGCCTGGCTTGGTGATGTAATAAAAGCAAAAACCAATCAGCTTTGGCACTGGGTGAAGAAGTTAAGTGTGCTGTGGTTTCCTACTATGCTTTTTCTTGGATCTTTCAGGTCATTCATCCCCGCTTGTGCACTAATGTGAAATCACAGAATAGCTGAAAGCAGTTCTCAGAATTTGAGATTTAACATATTAGTGCAAAAAAGCAACAAAGAAAACCCTTTGTTTTATTGATTTCTAACAAGATAGTACTGTGATATCTAAACCACATTAGCACCATGGAGAGAGAGAGAGAGAGAGAGAGAGAGAGACAGAGAGTGAACGACATTGTTCAAGTAAAGCCAGACTACTCACGAGATGTTTTGTGCTGGAACATATACAGCGTAAGGGCACACAGCATGGATGTAATTTTTTTTGTGCCAAGGAAAAACCACATATCCCATGGATGGATGGATGAATGGATGGGTGGATGGGAATAAGGGTGAGGGTAATGAGGAAGAAATCCGGGTGGGAATGGAGGCGTCCTAAAAAGACTACTCATGTCCTTGCCTCTTTCCCTTCAGCTGCACCGATGCAGAAAGGAAACAGAACAGGTAGAAGCAAATCTCCGGAGTGTATCCATCACATTGCTCCATAAATCACCTGTAGGTGGAGATCAGTGCAGCTGAAGGAGACGGCCACGCCTCTACATCTGCAACCTCGAGAGCTTAAATCCCCTCCAGTTAAACTGAGTTTGTGAGAGGGGGCGCAGGGAAAGTCTGCGGGGTCTGTTTGGGATCAGATTTCAGGGGAAAGGAGATGGCGTTGTTTTCAAAGTGTGTGCAAAAATACTTGTCAGACTACTGCTGGAACATGAACCCTTTTTTTTTTTGTACATTTTCAGCTTGCTTCAGTTCTGACCTTTAAATTTTGCAATATAGCTTCCTCTTTAATCCTACTTATTTTTCATCTGCTGCTTGTGTTTCACTTGTTTTAATATATATCTATATTTTCTTTTCTGGCTTTTTTTTTTCTCTTTTCTTACTTTACAAAATGAGAGACAGAATGATGGACAGCTGACAATATATATAATTATTTTCCTCTTCTTATTATCATCAGGTTTGAGATGATTCTCTTTGTTCGTTGTAAACAAACAGGTTTATCAGCCACTGGCGTTTGTTTCCTCCTCGTCTTCTTTTTTCCTCCTCCTTCAAGTGCACTCCTTCTTTCCCCTCCCTCTCTCCACCGCTCTCCTCGTTCTCATTGCAGGAGGGCCCTGATTTGTTTGGAGGTGCTGTCATCATTTAGATGCCGTGTCGTATACCTGAGGAGGAAGGTGACAAAGAGGTATGTTGAAATCCTTGACCATCATATCTCTGTGTATCTCTTTCTCTGTTGCTGAAACACACACGTTCACACACACCTCAGTGCATTCAGAAGTCCCTCCACACTGTTGGATGGTTGCTCTTTCAGCACCTTGATGCAGCCCTTCATCTGCCCGAAACAAAGACAACACAGGGCGTTAGAGAAAGGTCAGTAGCCTCAGATCCACCTCATCTGCTGCTGCTGCCACACACTGACTCAAAAACGCACATTTAACATTTAAGTGACCTCATCTACCAGTGTAATGTTGTGATGTATCATACATGAGCAGACACATGTCTTTATAAGGTTAGACCTGTGGGTCCCAACCTTCTTGGCTTCTTACTGGATATAAGTTGTGAGCAGTTGAATCAAAGAGCGATTTTTGCACTTTAATCATCTTTGTGACCCCTCAAATTTACTTTGGGACCCCTTTTGGGATCTTGACCCACTGGATCAATATCAAGGCTTATAGTGAGTGTATTGTTTGTAGATTGATTCTGAGGATTACCGGCCCTTCCTGCCTATTATTAATAGGCTATCTCTGAGGGAACATTGATAATTGTTTTTCCATCAGGCCTTAATCTGGTCAAGGTAGACAAGTATCTGAAACAGCATTTAAAAGTTAAATGTTTGAACATCAAAACTCTCCACAGAAGCACAGAGTGATAAATAAATGTGTTAGGAGGCTTTTACTGCAGGTTTTATTGACCGTTAAATAGAATCATCTCATACTGCAGTGTGACAATGTATTCTCAGAAAGAAATCAAATATTGATGAAAGCACATCATGCAAACTTGTGTGCAACCTAGTCACGATGTCGGTGTAGCACTAAATCAAGCTTCATCATAAAAAGAAAAATATTGATCCCTCAGGTACTACATTACACACTTAGACTAACCTCCTTTGCAGAGGTGGATGACATGACTGTTTTTTATTGAAAGTCAAATCCAACCTGGATTTAAAACTGATAGATTGTGCGTACTCTGCCTCCAAAGGACTTCCAACGCTTTAACCACTCCCTTTAAAATGTCTGTTTTGTTTTCATTCGCCGAAGTACATCATTGGGTACAGAAGTATATTAGTCCCTGAGAGGCAGAAATCACAGAGATGTTTGTACTCACGTCGATTTTGGAGGTTTTGGCAAAAGCCCCGACAGGGTGAACGTGGTCATAGAGAATTATGACTCCCACCATCACCCTCATGCAGAAGAGCATCGTGTCTGTGTTGGTGAACCGACAACGGTACTCCCTGTGACAGAGACAGTGATGGAGGGAAGAAGTTAGAGGACAGGATGGGACATGGCAGACTGCAGTTATTTGAAGCACTTTGTGATTGCCTTGACAAGTTCTTGATGACTTTTCTTCTTCATTTAGCTAATGAAAAAGAGTATACATTTTAAATTCAGCATGAAGGACTCAATGAATGATTCACTCTATGAATTGGTCGTTATTCAATCTATTGAATTAGTGGCTCAAACTTGAGACGTCCTCTTTTGTATTCATTTTGAAAGGGCTTGCTAATTAAAATCTGAGCCTCTGACCTTTGGAGAGAAGGACAAGGAGAGAAGATTTAGTAAGGGATGTTAGAGAGAAGGGAAAGTGAGGAAAGTACTCACGGAGTCTCCAACATGACACGGCACACACAGGCCATGGTGCTCAGGCAGTCTGTGGTGTCCTCGATGGGCAAGGTCTTATTCTGAAGGACAGGAAAAAAAAGAGAAATCAGCACAGAAAAAACCCTCTCTGTCTAAAGATGACATTCTTTTGGAATTTAGATATACTTGAGGAATGCTCATCCCTCCCTTCACTAACAAATGCACTGACAATGCGCTCTGTAGTTTATGTACTGACTGGACAAAATGTTCTACCACAAGGTGGAGACAAAGTACATCTGCAGAGTTCGGTTACAGCATGAGCTCAGTAAAGCAACTTCGCTAAAAGGCAATCATGACCAGCATGTCCTCTGAATTTTGCATGAGTCTCAAAAGTATTGAGCTGTAAAGTTAGAAAACGACTGCTTCCTCTACACTAAAATACTGTTCTGACAGTTCTGAGGATGGGGGAAGTCCAGCATGGGCATCTGAGGTGAGGACTCAAGCACAACTAAACCCTTCGATTGGCAAACTACCACTGATAAGGATAAGCTATATGAGTTACATATAATGTTATTTATAAAGTTATTTTTGCAGTGTATAAACACTCAGGTTTGACACAAATCCACATTAAATCTGTGCATTTAAATTCTAAACGACAGATTATGTATTAATGAGCATATAAAATATGATACATTGTTACAGATTAAACTAACAATAATCCAATAATGTACTATATAATATAATATAGAACTGTGTAACAATAACACAATAATATGTCTGCATTGAGTACATATTGCTGATAATGCCTTTACATTTTCAAGGGAGTTTTACTTGTAATTCTACAGTAAATTATCAGAATACTTCCTCCATCACTAACTTTAGCTCTTGAAGCCATTATCTAAGAGGGAAAACTACCCTGAGCGCTCCCTTAGTTTTTTGTTTGGATGCTTTATGAATCAATTTCATGTGACTTTCGCTTGATGCTTGCTTTTATTGACAATAATAAAAGTTGAACTCCAGCTCATTCCTAAAAGTGTCCACTCTTTGTGTATCGATACAGTAGACTTGAAGAATTAGAAACCTACCTCTGAAACAAACTTGGTGGTGGCGTTACTCAGAGTCTTCAGCATCGGTGTTGCTTCAGCATAGAACAGGGACATCCGATTGGCCATCTCATTGTTGACCTCGTTCTCCGCTTCCAGCTGCGTGTCAATACAAAACGGATTTCATACCTTTAAAAAGCATTAATCACCAATTGCACCCAGTCCAATAATCATGTTATCCAGCTGTGATAAAGCCAATCCTGGCTCTATTTGTGTTGTTGGGGGGGAAAGGGGGAAAGGAACACCTCCTCTTCAGCCATTAATGATTTAAAGAGAGAAGGTGAAGCCATGCTGCTCAAGCTGAGCATTAGATCATGTATGCAACAAAAACAGCCTGCAGCCAGATCACCTCTCCAAGGCCTCACCTGCTGGTTGTTCAGCCTGTTCCTGCTTATAGTCCTCCTGTAGTAACTGAAGTCATTCTGAATGGCTGGATTTGTCATCTGCATGGTGAGGGAAGAGGTGATTTATGTTCATCAAAAGGCAATTCAAGCATATTTGATTTTTTGATATTGATTTTTCAGTACAGTAAAGGTCAGTCTGTGATGGCTGTAATTAGACCAAAAATGATTCCCTTCACCTTTAGCTCATCAAAGCTGAGTGTAAAATGAAGGATCTCAGCAAACTGTTTGGCCAGGGCCTGCTCTCTCTCCAGGTGCTGCATGGGAGCGTACGGCGGGCTGGTCAGCGCCTCCAGCAGGCTGCGCAAGGCATTCTCTGCAAACATACTTAGATTTCAGAAATGTATCTGCACAAGCTTGAATCTGCATTTCACACTGCTGCTTCTGTAGGGTTGTATCTCCTTGTGTTTAGACTGCTGTAATTCTCTCTAATCTGGCCTGGATCTGAAGGCTCTTTCATGTCACCAGATTTAAACAAAATGCAGCAGCAGCTGGATTTAAACTGATTCAAACAGATGAAATCACTTCCTCCAGTTCAGTCACATCCTCTCTGGATATCACTGGATACCTGTTGGGCTTTTAGAAATGGGCCCAGCACATTTTAAATGCATTGGGATCTGGCCTTGGGCAGAATAACAGACCTTCGGATCCCCTCTGAGAGCGGGGTTCAGGCCCTCAGACGGGACCCTTCCAGCTAGGATTTAACGTTTGTGACTGGAAAGTGGTTTTTTCTTCCTAATATTTTTAACCAGGCTAGCGGCATGGCTCAAGCAATGGCAATGCTGGTCTGTCGATCTGTCGGTCGACCACTTTGAAATATCTCAGCGCTTACACCTTCATAGACTGCCATGAAATTTGGTATGGACATTCATGCATCAGAATCAATGCAGCAGAACCAGAGATTCAGAGAGTCAGCATGCTAATACACTAAAGTAAGATGATGAACACGGTGAACATTATACTCGCTAAACATGCTAGATTTGTCATTGTAAGCATGTTGGTATGCTAATGTTGATGTAAAAACTAGAGATGGCTTTAATGCTAAGTACAAAATTTAAATATTTATTAAGATCATTGTTTCCATAGTGCTGAATTCACTAACTGGGAAAGTGAGAAGTTTGAACCGAAATGGTTTAATTTACCAACTATTTCACATTCTTTCAGTCTCACTGTCATTATTTCTTGCAGTACGCAGCACTGCAGAGACGTGAGCATGGATGTGGTCTTTTTCTGACACACTAACGCCTTTTCTAAGGTTCAACAGTCCAACAGCTCTCGTTTGACCCTCCTTTTGCCACTACAGGCATTCACACATACATTTCACTCTGCAAGAAGATAAATGAAGATATACCGGCACTCCATAGAGATCACACTGCGGCCTGAGCATCCTTGAGGACACCGTATCAGTGACCATCCACTGTGTCACATGTGCTATTGAACCTAAGCCTATTTATTGCTTTGCTGCCTCTAACAAATCAGACACCAGAGTTGGACCTGAGAGGCTGTATGTGGTAGTAATGCCTCAGAAGCATACTCTCCAGAGGCCCCATCCCTTCCTCTGCATTAAAAATGTATAAGGGCCTTCTATAAATACAGCACTGAAGTGTTTCATCTAAAGGGCCTGAGCAGAAACCCACTCTCCCTCCTGCTGTTAGCCCAGAGTGCATGGTCCCTATCCTGAGCACTGATTCCTGAGGGTACATACTGACAGATTGGACAAGGAAACACTGCAGCTGTTTGTTTACTGTAGGTGCGACCTCTTAACCTCATACTACCCCCTTTGATCAAACACATAAACAAACAAAGGTGGTGCAGGAAAGAACTTGTAGTTTGTACTCTCGTTGTCATTAAGATTTGATCCCTTTCTCTCGATAAGGAGGGTGGGAAGGCAATGTCTACATGATATCTGTTGTACTGTATCTCATAGCTACATTAGCGCTCATACATTATCATTAATTATTAGTTAGCCCTCTCTCTATGGTAAGCTGAGAACACAATGTCCATGAGATCGAAGTATTATTGGAAGGCAGAGCAGAGGCGGCAGCCGAACTCTATTCCTCTGCTCATACTTCTCTCTCTACTCTCCCTGTCTCTCCCTCTGTGCTGGACGACCAGTTACCACTGTTTCCGTAGCAACGGCTGCCTGGCTGCTAGGTCAGGATGCTGCAGAGATGGCAGAGAGGACATCATAGTGTGTGTGTGTGTGTGTGTGTGTGTGTGTGTGTGTGTGTGTGTGTGTGTGTGTGTGTGTGTGTGTGTGTGTGTGTGTGTGTGTGTGTGTGTGTGTGTGTGTGTTAAGGAATGCTGGTGGACTGAAATTGCATGTGAAATCACGATTGCGGTACATGGCAACATGCAGTGGAGCTGTGAAGCAGCACTGACAGTACAAGATGAGCTTCTCCCCATTGCTAGTAATGATAAGTCTCCCTGTTCATCACCTTAAATTTAATCTTCCTCTTATTCAAGGTTCAATGGAACAGTGTGTTCACCGTGTTGTGGTTAACTTTCTTATGCTGCACTTGTCAGGGTCACAGTGCATTGGCTGTCTGTCACATACAATATATGTCACATCCGGTGTCTGTTGTCAGAAAGACAAAACAACAGCTAGTGCTACCATGTAAGCAGTAATCTGTGAGACCAGTGCTGAAAATTTCCGCAATCCTTTACACCTCTATGCCCTACAAATGCTTAATAACACTTCATTTCACACATATTTCTGTCACAAATGTGGCAGAGACCAAAGAAAGGTGTCATTGCTTTGTCAGAATACAACAAACGCTCATTTAGCGTGTCATGAATGTGAATGATGCTCCTCTTTCTGTGTGCACCCTTTACCTCTTTTTCTACTGTTGTTACATCTTCCTCCCTTCCTCTAACCCTATACCCACACAACGCTGATGCACCTTATGGTAGCCATAGTCAAGGCCTTCCCTCTTTGATAACTGACAGCAAAAACTGTTTCTAAATTCAGATTTAGGTTAAAGCCGCTTGAAGCTATAACTCCTATTGGACCTCCACTATGGCCACCAGAGAGTTGTGTGTGTGTTACATCACTGGAAATGACTCTATAGACTGTATGTAACAGCCGTGCTCACCCAGTCGGAGGGAAAACTCGTAGAACCGCTTCAGCTTGGCCACCAGGGGGCAGACTGCGTTCCAGGCCTTCTCCTGAAGAGCGAGGTCGCCTGGGTTCTGGATGGCCTGTGGGCAAAGAACACAGGCAGAAGCACAGATGTTACTTTTACAAAAAGGATTTAAAAACCTCCCCATCTCCTCTATCCTCTCTTCCTCAGAGCAATGATTCACTTTGGTAACAGTTTCACTTTCAACTTCTGCTTCCATACTGCAGTGATCTCAGTATAAAGTGACGAATGAAATGTCATTTATCTTAAAAACCTCATTAAGTTTTAGTGACATGACACATAATATCAACTCAATGACAAATCACTGTATTATTTGGTTATTGTAATATTTGTTTAGACATGGTTAACCAAACAATCCAGAAGGCATAGGTATACAACAAAGTAGTAATGTCCTTATAAAAAGGATAAGGCTGCTGTTATTTCCTAATATCAATAAAATCAGCTATGCATTAGTTCATCTCTCATAACATCCCAACTTTCTACCTCTTTTTTGGCACTCAGTCCAAAGCCTATCTGTCCATTGAAGGTTGAAGACTGAAAAAGGCTCAGTAATATCCTAAAACAGCTGGGCACTGTAATTTACTCTACTTTAGTTACTAACTACTACTCAAACAGGAGTAAATAATGCATTAGTTGCGGACTATTTTCAGCTGTGGATTGATACACATTTATTGACAATAAGACGTCTCTTTTAATGTTCCTCTGAAAATCCCATCCTTTTAAATAGACGGATTGGCGAATGCTCATATGCCATATCCTGATTTCTTCTCCCTGGTGAGATTAATCAAACATAAAATATTCCTAAATGTCACTAGTAGCCTCACAGCCCTACAGAAGCTACGATTTTCACACTGACTTCAGAAATCCTCTGCAGGTGCACGTTGAAAGGAAAAAATTGAAAGCTTAGCTGAAATATAGTTTATAAAAATAGAGTCTGCCTAAGTGTCTGTTCTTAAGGAATGCTTCCAAGTCCTCGAGGTTAGGAAGCAAGGAGAGGAAACGATTCAGCACTATTTGTTAACAAGTAGAGCAATGCCAACAGCTGAGCAATCAGCAGCAGTAATCGTTCATACTGCAGAGGGAACTGGTTTGCTGTAATGTGCCGCTGAGCAAAAGCTGAACCTGAACACACTAAAGCTCATCAACACCAGCATGCCGGCTTTCTAGCTACTGATGTTTAAGCCTCTACCATAACATTGCCAGCAAAAACATATTGCATGAAAAAAAAAACATTTCTGTCTCTGCCTATATTTACTTCATGCTACACTACATGTCAGAATTTCACCGCAGCAGGCCATGTGAATCTCACAAGTGTTCTTTTTTTATCGACTTCTTTGTGCTCACTTCTCGTATCTCCTGGCCTGCACCATTATAGGACTGCAGCTCGGCTAGGATCCCATGAGCCTCCTCCAGCACAGCGCTGACCTGGTTCCACACGGCTGTCTCTGCCTCCGTGGGCTGGGCATCTGGGAGGGGAGGAAGGAAGGGAAGTGAAGGAGGGAAAGAGGAAGAGAGAGAGTGGGAAGTGAAAGTGTGATGTAAGGTACGGGTAAGGGATTCAATTATTGAGGGAGGGGTGGCAGAAAAGAGGGAAGGAAAGATTAAGGGGAGGGTGAAGAAAAAGGAGATTTGAGGAGAGAAGGAGGTTAGTGATGAAGGAGGAGCTGATATCTTAGAAGGCCAGATAAAAGCCGGAGATAACTAATTACTGGCTACATGACTGCAATAAAAGCAAAATGTCCCTACAAGTGAAAATGAATGCATTTCATCATATTAGTGGACATATCACACATCTAAGGTCAAAATCTGGCCAGTAAATGGATGATCCAATTTACCCACCATAGTTAGAACAAGAGAGCTGTAAGCCACACTCTGTCACACAGTGAGGTTTGATTACTGTGTGTGGCCCCTCCAAAAGGACCAGATGATGACAAGTCAGTTTCACTTTGGAGAATTATTTGGATGAGGATGTAACGACTGATAGTTTAACATTTTGATGGTTTTCAGGTGTCATAAAAGTGCCGGGATTGCACTGCTTGAACAGTGTGTCTGACTGCTGAACTGTAATCGACTCAACTGTTCATTCAGTGCAGATTTATACAGCCCTAATTGTCTTTTCCATCTTTTTCTCACTTTCTATTTCCCCCTTTATGTCTATGAATGGGACTCTTCTTTTTTTACCCTCAAGGTTTAATTGTGAGAAATGTTAAAACAAACTAGCAGCAGGGAGGACAACCTCTGGGCATGCTCACTCTTTCTCTTTCTCTGTTTCACACATACACAATGAGCAGCACACATTCGGTAAACTCTTTTTGCTGCAGGGCACCTCCCAGTCACAGTTCTGGTTTGTTTGCCCATGTGGCATGCTGCATGCATACAGGAGGGATTAAGTGTTTGAGGGACGCAATTTACAATGCGTCCTCTTGAGTCATAATTGTGTTTGGTTTTCTTTTTTTTTTTCAAGCTATCTGTCTCAATGTGTGACTCAGGTATAAAGTGAGAGTGGGAGTGTGCCCAGGCAGCTCTCTACATGCGGTAGCACCGCTGATTATTTTTGCCCCCTAAGGCATTGCCTCCCTGCGGAGAAATAGTAATCATGGAATATTTGCTATCCTACATACACAATGGCTGCCATAATAAGCACAGCAAGCATTGCTATTTCAGTGGTGACTGCTCACTAATGTGCTCCTGCAATTCTCTGATAAACAACAACACATTTTATTTACTAGGTACAGTAATAATTAAAGGAACATATGCTCATAGCTTTAAAGTAATAGTTCACTTTCTTGCTGTGCCGGAACTTAAAGAACAATAACCCTCTTACAACTGTATGCTAAATATGAACCTGAAGACAAGAGACAGTTAGCTGAGCTTAGCATAAAGACTGGGAGCAGGGGAAACAGCTAGCCTGGCTCTCTACAGAGGTTTTACTGGGGTTTAGGATTATTTTTCAAACAGTTTGGTTTCTGTATGAATTAAAAAAATAAGATATTAAATGTATATACAGTAGTGAAGTATACAGATTCTAGTAGGTGGATTTTGTTACCTTTGGACCGAGGCAGGCAAACCATTTCCAGTCTTTATGCTAGGCTGAGCTAAGCTAAGCTAAGCTAAGCTAAGCTAACCGGTTCTTCTTTATATCTTCAAATGTGAAATTTGTCAAGCTGTTCCTTTACGGAACCTGTGTTGCTTTAATCTTGCAGATGGATGTAAGTTTACTCGTAATGATGGACACGGTGATGTTTTTAAATGAGAAAATGATTCACAGTCTTGTATTTTGTCATCAGATTTGATCCTGATCCTTGAAAAGGTTTGAACACAGTATAATTATCAGCATTCATCCATAAATAGCTTCATGGGAGCTCAGTGTGGAGTTTAAATCAAACTTGGAGCTGTGTGACAGAGGTGACTGTGTCTCTGGGTTGAGGAGGAGAGCTCACAGATGGCACAGGGGTGGTTGGGGGGGGGATGTGTCTAAAGCTGCCATGCCTGAGTCTGACTCATTCCACTTGCTTTTGAAGTAAAGTGAATCACAGGCATAATAAACGAAGGGTAAATTCAGCCTGTTTGACAGCTGACGTCTCTTGCCAGCGGTGAGCTCTCCCACTCCCACTGTAACATACAGTCAGTGAAGGAGGAGGAGGAGGAAGCCAGCTGTTAAAGGGGGAAAGTGGTTGAGGAGGGGCAGAATACGTTGGGTTACACCGCCAAGTATCTACATCTTAACAATCCATTTTAGTCTCATAATCAGTCTTAATATCTTCTGTATGATATATATTTTTTTTTATGCCAAAGATGACTTGTTTCCAGTGCAACGACACTCTCAGGGGAATTAATTGATTTGACAAATCTTTCAGCCAGCAGCATGGCTTTGTGTTTAGTGCTAATTAGGAAATGTTATCAAGCATGATAACACGCTAAATGGTGAACATGGTAAACATTTGCTGCCACACGTCAGCACTGTGAGCATGTTAGCACGCTGATGTTAGCATTCAGCTCCATCAGTACAGCCCCACAGAGCTTCTGGAGACTCTTGTTAACCGTTCTGTCAAAATGTTTTATTCGCTGCCAATACTACAGAAGATTTTAACACTGAGCACTAAAATGACTTGTTAAGATCGACATTTTCACACTGTAAAGTTTAGAATTCACTGACTGGGAAAATGAAAAAAAGGGGGGGGGATAGTAGGGGGTTTTATTTACCATCCTCTTTCACAATCATTCTCTCTTGTTTTCAGTTTTTCTTTACCAGTCTCACTCTCTGACACACATTATTTAGTGCACACTCACACACAGATAGGTCAGACATACAATAGGGGATGAGGAGATGAGGAGGTGGAGGGATGAGGATAGACTTCCCATTAGCTATCATCATCCCTGAGCAACAAAAACCCACACAGGACTGGCATTCAGTTGATTTTCTCCTCAGTTTTTGTAGCTTAGGAACCGAGATCAAAGCATTATTGTTGTCATTTTGCTACAGCGTCACCATTCCATTGTGCATCTGTCTGCGTCTAATAAGATGTAGCGCGTGTGAATAAGACCCTTTTAGAAAGAAGCCAAATGACTTTCAAATGCCAGTCCCTGGAGCAGAAAACAAAAGATAAAGAAGAAGGTGACTAGGAGAAGAGCTGAGGAGGGAGAAAGGGGTAAATAAGGACGTAAAGATGACACAATGATGACACAAGGGTCAGCTGAGATCAATGGAATGAGGAAAACAAAGCAAAGGCAACAAAGAGAAAGGGACAACTCAAAAAAATAAGAAGCGGATGGTCTCACGTTCAAAGTCAAGGAAAACTATTGGGCCATGCTCAAGTTCGGCGCAAGCCAGCACTTTCAGGAGGTTTCCCATGAGCCCCCTGGAACAGAGAGAGGGGAGAAGTCTGTGGGTGATGAGGGGATGGGTGTCGGGGGTTGTGCGCGTGTACGCGTGTGTATGTGTGTGGGAGTTGTATGTGTGTGTGTGAGAGGTGAAGGTGTCGGGGTGGAGGATTGGATGAGAGGGGGTTGCTGGAATGGCATGGTGGAAGTATGTCCTGGGTGAAGCATGGCAACATGGACAGAGCTTCTTTAATCCCACTCCTATGGATTTATTTATAGTTTGCTTTAAATCAAGTGATTGATTTGGTGTCGCTGTTGATGGCGACACCAACGTTAAAGAGAATGCGTGTGAATGAGACACAGAGGAGAGAAGTCCAATTAATTAAATTTTAATTTGCAAAATTCTGCAGGAAAAAAATCTAAATCAAAGAATGTATTCCTCATTTTCTGGCACAGATGTTAAAATATATGGGATTATTCTTTGTTTCAATAGGAATTGAGAAAAATATCCCAAGAATCAAACAAAATAATGATAATAAAAAAATATAAATACTAGAATTTGACTTATTCTAATATGCTATTCAATATTTATTTCAATACAAACTTGTTGCATGAAACACATACTGAAAAATCTAGAACAAAGAAAAATGTAAACCAAAACAATTACCTCAAAAAAAAAACTACAAAAGTGTCCCATTTGATTAGAAAGAACCCTTGAGTGGGCGCATAGGTTCCCCGCAATGATCGTTCTGTGTCAGAAGTGGAGCTGAAAACTGGATCAGTGAAAGTGAAAAACGTGGGTTACCTTTTTACATAAAATTAGAGAATATTGTAATCAAATGGAGAACTTTTGTATAGTTTTATAGCAGGTTTTACTCATAAGGTCTTGTTTTGGTTTAAATTATTTTCAATGATTCTCAGTTTATTATATAATAAACTTGAGATATAATTCTTGAGAGATTTTGTGGAATAATTTTGACTGAGAAATGTAATCCCATTAAATAAAAGCACACAGATGTAATTAGGAGTCAAAGCTGAAAATACTGTATAAAAGTCAGAATATATATATTGGAAAGTTATTTGAGGGCAGTGTTGTTTAAGAGCTAACAGCATACATTAATACCTATAACTGGTTTTGATTCATGCTTTTTGGCCTCACTGTAATTATCTATGCACCATTTTATTCATACCTACGCACCATATGTTTATTCCATCATTGGATAGAAGAGCTTTTAGCATCAGAAAGTCCTGAGAGTGGGACTAGAGAGCGTCTGATAATGACAAACCACACCCACAACACCACTTCATCACACCATCAACAACTCAGCAGCTCACATCCAAATATACCTCCCCTGACCCCACCCAGCGGCCTCCCACTGAACACCTCTGCTGCACACATGTGCTCTCACATTTCAAGCACACAGACACGTGCACACACCCCGGCGCTCACTTACTTTCAAAGTCCAGGAAAAAATGTGGACAGTTCTCTAAATCCTTGCCAAGGACCTTAATGAGGTTCCCCATGGCTGGCGACCTGGACGAGAGGAAACAACAAAATGCATACAGTACGCAGAACCTGGCAATGCGCATGAAAATACACAACATGCACATGGAGGACACAGCAGGTTGTGACTGTTTTATTTTTTTTTTGTACCCATCTGCACTTCTCTAATTATCCCTTCTTCCTATCCACCTCCATCCTTCTGTCTAAACAATATGTCCAGAGCGAAGTCAGACGCTCCAGTCATAAACGACACTGATCACAGTTTGCATCCCATACACAGTGTATGCTGTATTCGATTAGAAGGGGGGCCTAAATCCAGTAGTGAATCATTTAGCTCACTCATTGGGAGTCACTAGAGCTGAGCAGTGGTTTTAATCCATTTACATTACTATAGTAACCTAATAAAAGCCTGCTATGTAAGGGCTACTTTCTCCTAATGCCCTTCATGTACAGCAGTCTATGGATACTTTATGACAAGCTCTTTATACTTCATACCCAGAGGCCAGATGCCAGTGCTTTAAAAAACCAATGATGCAGGCTCAGTCAATCAGATTAAACTGCAGGTCAGATGCGCAGGATATACAGAGTCTACATGCTTGTATGTCCGTTTACTGCACCAGACACAACAGCATATGTCAGGTGTTTCAGAATTTAAGACCACAACGGTCGACCCTGGTTTGAACCTCTTCGATCCCACTCAGGCCAGACAGTGTGAGGGCACTCTGTGGGGCCAAATACCGCTCAAAACGACAGGAGTGGGCCACGCCACAGAATATGGTTTTGATCCAATACCAAGTACAACCAAGGCCAGAGTCACCAATTAAAAATTCAAAACAGCTTATGTCATGTAGAGTAGTATCGATACTTAAGGTTTTGAACCACCCACCCCTAATTCACACCCACAGAAGTCGGTGATTATTTCACTCTGCAAACATTAGACGGCTTCAATAAAGAGCTGGAACAAGTTGATGTAGATTATACATGTGGTATTGTCAAACAGTGTGGAATAAAATGATTTTAACAACCTTAAAGCTGATTAAAGTGGAAATCTAAGGGAAATGGATGTTCAGGGATCAAAGAGGGAGAGGATTGAGAGGCCGCATGTGGACTTTTGTGTATGTCGCATTAGAAAACACAATAAACACAAAAACCGAGTGGAATCCAATATTCAAAATGACTCTCAGCTGTGCGAGTATGAAAGCCTCCTCTCAATCATAGAGGGACTTCGGTAGCAGAAGGTAAGCAGCTGCCAAGTTTCACTTCCTCTGCTCTGCCCTCTGTGTTTATGTGCTATGTTAGCACACAGCGGAGGCCTATCAGTTTCCCCCCTGCACGACTGATTTATGGACAGCATTAGCATGTTTATGAGATGCCACCGTCCCTGCAAAAAGAAAAAAAACCTGATCTTTTTGCTGTTACTCAGCAAGAACGGGTGTTGCAATGCAGCACTGAGGTACAGATAGACAGGGGATGGAGTTACACTGTCCAATCGCTGAGACAGCTTACTGACAATCCCCAAAGTAGCGACTTCTCTTTCAGATAAGTACTGTATCTACTGTATTATATGTTTACTCTATCTACAAAATCTACTGGCAGAGAAAAAGGGGCTATATGCTGAGTCACTGCTGTAACCCGTGAGCATCACTCCAAACGTGTAAAACGCACCCCATCTCCTTCTGACTTTTTAGACCACCTGCTTCAAGGTAGCAGGGCGCTATGAATAAATGAATAACAGATTCATATCTTCAGTCTGACAAGGTGATTGCAAAGGCGAAGTCAAGCTGGGATTCAGATCGCAGCCTCATACAAAGCAATGAAAGCTTTTCTGACATGTGAATAGGTGAGTGTGTGTCTGTGTGTGTTAGAGGTAGCCACACACTGGCCTCACACACACACACACCCACACACACACACACACACACACACACACACACACCGAGTCTGGAGCAGCATGTGGTCCATCCCGAGAGCAGAGCTCGGCTGATGGTTGCCAGGATACTGTTGGCCTGGTGATATCGTCTGCTCGTCTCGGCAGAAGATGTGGGTGAAAAAAAGCATCCAGTTTTGCTCACACTGGGTCAGCTGCTTACAACAATGATCTGATGCACCAGTCTTTACTGCCTGAACAGCAGTCAGCCTTGTTCTTAATTGCAGAACACAAATGGTAAACACAAAATTCACCAAGCCCTAAAAAACAAAACAGGAAATCAAGAAACTAACCAATAGCTTCTTACACATCTCTCTTCTTACCCTCTTTCCTATGAGTGATTCGCCTCTTCCGTTATCTTTAACCCTCAGTTACTTCTCTTCCGTCCTGTCTTTGTTCTGCCTGCTTTGTGAGATCGTTGCTGTGAGTAAATCCCAGGTTAGCGGCTGCAGTCCCACGGTGGAACCGGTTGCCACTCTGCTTTTCTTAGAGACTGATGTAAACTTCTGCTCTCGCTCTTTCTCCCTCTGTCTCTCTCTGTGTATCTCTATCCACTTCACACTTCTCTTTTTCAGCCATCTATTTAAAGGCCTGTGGTTTTCTCTATTTGATCTGTGTGCTAGATGTGGCTCTTTGTGTTGTTTTGTGCAGTTTGTATACGATGATCCTCTGCTGGGTGAGGTTGTTTGTATGAAGAGCTTAAGATATGTTCATGTTATTTACATTTCTGTCTTTTCCCTCTGGCTGCATTGTACTGACGCATGTGTCTGTATCTTTTCAATTCATACGCAAACAGAGAAAACTCCTTCTCTCTTTTTGGTTCTGACGTCAGAATGGGTTCCTCAAAAATATCCCCTGCAGCACTCCTCTCTGCCTCACTTCTCTATTTTACCACTCAGCAGCACTCTACGGGCTCCTCTGGCCTTGTCTTGTCACAGCACATCTCTGTCATGGTGCCATTCAGTCTCACTGGTGGCCCTTAGGTGCAAATGAATCTAAGTGGCAGAATGGGAATGGCGATCGGGCAGTGCAAAAAGACACGTTTCCTTTTAAACTGGCGTCCATATTGTACAGCCAATGGGTGTATCACAGTCCCACTGTTCGGACATTAAGACATGGTATTCTGTAAATTAGGAAGTGTGTTTGGTGACCACTGGTTGCAGTTTCTCTTGCACGCAAACACACACAATGTTTGCAGTCAGCCAGCGTGAAAGTGGAGCAAAGTGCTTCTCTTATGCAACTGCACAGCACACACAGCTCTCATCTGTAGTCCGGCAGGAGAAACCAAACCAAGGGGGCTCCTTGAGTCTTAATAAAGACACGGCTCGGCTCCCACATGGCGTCTGAAAAGCAAACCTGGTCCAGACTGGAAGCCAAGCAGCGGAGCGAGGCCTCCCGGCTTCCTTTCAGCTCGTACTGAAAGATTTCTGCTGTTAACAGACCAGGAGCTTCATCAGTGTGGATTTACTGTGCACAGAAACTGTGCTGCTCATCTCTGCCAAGTCCAACCTCTATTAACTCACCAATAATACCATCTGAACTCCTTTTCTCCATCTGTGTCTCTTTCTCTCTAACCACAATGATCTCTCTTTCTGCCGAACACTGGCTGACTGGGTATTCATTGGCCTGTGAATCAAACCCATTCAGCAGCTGTACTGTATACAACGGATGCAGCAACTGTACTCTCCTAGCTCCCATCTTTCCTCTTTGCCCATCACTGTTTCCTTATCCATAAATTGTCCATCCGTCTCCCCCCTCTCCGACTCGCCCATATGGTGTTTCTCTGCCGTGTCCTTATTTTTCAGCTGTTGTTCTTTCTTTTTTTCCTCTCCCTACATTTTTTCACTCCTCATTTTTTCATTCCTACCTTCGCTTGTGTTTATCCCTCTGGAACACTTCACTGCATCAACCAGGGCTTGTCAGCTCCACACAGTGGTTACAGCATCAGCACCCACCACCTGACAAAGAGACAGACAGATAGACAGAGAGAAAGAGAAATTAACATAAAATTCAACATCATGTACAGTACAGTGTTGGGAAAAGCAGGAATGTAGAAGTCTTGATTTTGGCTTGAGTCAACAAGGGCGAAAAGCATGGGTAAAGAAAATAAAACAATAATTATGTAATCAGGCTAATGTGCTTGTTTGCCTTCATTAGCCTTGTAGGTGAGAATATGATTTTAGTTAGCTTTGCAGTGAAAGTTGTTACACTCATATTTAACCTGCTACTTAGCTACGACTTGAAAATGTTAATAATAATAATAATAATTTTTTGCCCACTTAGAGACAGCAGAAACAAGCTCACAACATGAAGGATTATCATGTTGCTAGAGTGAACATGTTACTATACAGTTGCCTAATTACACACCTAGCAATTACAGAGCAACGTTAGCATTTATTTGAATGTGTTTGTGTCCACCCAATGAATGTAAAGCCAATATTCACTCTCCTTCTAGTTCTGTTTTGGTCTCTACTAACTCTTGGGAATAATATATGGCTCTTCAGCTGCTAAATGTTCCACTATGTTAACTAGCTAGCTAACTTTGTCTGTCTGCCATATGGTGCTGAGCAGGTGGTGCACAATGGTTCTTTTTTCACTGAAAACATACCTGCTGTGGCCCCTACACAAAGAGAGTGGTAAGAGTGAACAAAACAATAAAAAACAAACCAAACAGCAGCTTAGTCTTTCTGGTGGCCAGAAAAACCAAAACGGCGTGCTAAAATAAGCTAAAAGGCTCAACAGCGCTGAATTTGTTACTACAAGTGATCCTTTCCACCCATTTGATATTGTGCCCTTTGATCTTGTTGTTATTAAAAAAAGATTATAGCAGCTTTAAGTGTCCCTTATGGTTTGGTTTGAGCTATAATGGTTCCACACTGCAGTTATAAGCACTCATGGCTCCCAGTCAGAAACAAAAGATGTATAGCTTCAATCCAAAATTATCAGTATTACCTTTCCAAAGCTCAGTCAGTGTAATCTGAGAACCTAGAAGGTGTTTCTTTCTTTCCCATTTTTACATTTTGATAATGGACTAAGCTTGTTAAGCTTATCTCATTCCTTGTGCATCTCTCACTACTCTGGCACTGTCTTACCCGTCGACTGTTGTAACTATTAACACTACTGCTGCTGCCCTTGCATCATTGAATCTCATCAACAGGGAGTGCAGACAAGAGAGAGGGGGGGGGCCTTAGAAAAATTGTTGCCAGGGAAACACAGCCTCTTATTCCTATGGCAACACACAGTCGGGTACTGTTCAGCGTTATCAATCAGGTGGATTGGATGGATAGATGGATGGATGGATGGGTAGACTATACTCTCCTTAATCTCCAGAGTGTGTGGGACACCAAAGCATTGCCTTTCCTACTTGTGGGGGTTGTAAACTACACCATCCACTTCTGGAATTACATATCCTCTACCTCAGGACTTTTATGTAGACTGTGTGTTCCCTTCAAGTAAATTGTCTAATGCTTATTGATCTCTCCACGCAGTGAACGAGCAAAGGTCAAGTATTGCACAGGATGCTGAGGTCAAGAGAGGTGACCACTTGAACTAAGACTCTGAGGTTAATACTTCTGGACAGTGTTAAGGTAAACTACATCTTTTGAATGAGATTGCTTTTTCTACCTGAGCCTGACTTTGTGTGGTAGTCTTCAACCCTGTGACCTTTAAAACTGAAGTCAACCCTAAAAGGCCTTCAGAAACTCACGTCGTGTACATTTTCTCATGTTTGGAACCACAGAGAAGTAGTTTTAGGTACGGTACTATGAAAAAACAGCTCTATGCAGCTGTTGTCATGACTATTAATGGATTTATCGGATGAAATGGAGAGCAGACACATAATTTTACTCCAGCTTGAGGGCCCTGACTGCACAATTTGATGGATTACTATTTTCAATTTTGCTAATTAGATGAGTGCTTTAGTTTGCTGTTTAAGCTCCATGCCACCTGGTTGCACTTTCAGTGCTGCCTAATCTGATCCATACACAAACATTAATTTCCATCTCTGTACTTGCAGCAAGCAACTGCTAGTTAGTCTCAGTCTATTGAGATTCTACAGATTCTACTGCGTTTTGATATATTATAATACAGTCCGATCAAAACAGGATGCTTAGTGAGGAAGTGTCATCTTTATAAATATGCTGGTTTAATAGTCTAAATAGAAACACAAGAAAACACCAAAATAAAACTTCTCAGTAAGAGAGTGCTTGAGAGTGACTTAGGAGTTAAGACCACAACATCCTGGCCTTTCCCTCATGTTTCATGTTCGTCATCTCTATTGTATATTAAGTTCATCACATGGCTCCTTAACAGATTCATTGCTGAGTTTGAAGGTTCATTTATGGCCTTGGAAACTCAGCAAAAAACCCCAAAATAATCACCACACAGTCTCAAGCAGTTCTTGTCTCTGTTGCAGTGTGACCAAAATCCCATACTTATGTCAGGTGGTAACAACTCAAGCATTTCTATGACAATTAGCAACTCAGTATGCTGAGGGATATGTGGTCGAAAGCTTCAGAAACTATGAATTGGATTATGTGCTGAGAATTTTCTTTGGTCAGTCGTCTTTGTCTTCAGATTCTCAAAGTCAGTGGATATCTACTGGAGGGATGAAGAAAAGATCTTCCCTCATTTGGTGTTTTGATGATGACTTCCTGTAATGTGTCATCAGTCTGTGTAAATACGGTGTTTAAAGCACCAGTGTGTAGGATTTTGTGGCATCCAGTGAAGTTGCAGATTGCAACCAACTGAATACCCCTCACCTCCCAATCCTATAGGAGAAACAACTTAGGGTTAGGGTTAGGCCCTATCTAGGGCTAGTGTTTGGATTGTTCATTCTGGGCTACTGTAGAAAGATGGGGGTTTAACATGGCAGCCTTTTGTAAAAAACAAAACAAAACAAAAAAAACCCAATAAATATTGTATTGCATTTCTATCACTAGATCCTTCTAAATGATACACACTGGACCTTTGAGTATTTAAAGTCAAAACAAATCAATCAGATTCCAGGAAGACTTCACTTTGATATTGGCATTGCCACTTAAGGAGCCCCATCATGAATCAGTGTCATGCTAATCAAATATTAGACTACTCTGCAGTCTCCAGAGAGCAGACACTGAGAGAGAGGTCTAGCCAACTGTAGGGACGGTCTTTAAATATAGTTGCTTTTTCAGCGACTTCAGAGCTGATGAGTATTTCAGAAAGAGGTGGTGAGAGAGTTGGAGGGTCGGAGATCATAGAGTCATTGTATGCAGACATTTGTCTGCTTTGTTGAGAGTCTGTGGTACTTAGTTCATGTTAGTTCTGCTCACTGAACAGGTCCTCCTTTAAAAAAAAAAAAACACTGGTGATTATTTTCGCTCCTTCTCTATTGCTTTCACTCTTCCTCAACCTTTCGCCCACTCCCTCGACACACCCCTCTCTTCACCCCCAGTTCACTTCAAGCCCCTCTTTTTCATTCACCCGTCTTCTAACCGCACACCCTTTTGACCTCTTCCTCTGTTCGTGTGTCTTTTATATCGTCCCTCTATCCTCTCCTTCTTTGTTCTCAGCATATTCTCCCTAAAGGAAGAGACGAGTGCACAAGGCTGCGGTTAAATCGTCTGCCCTTATGTGAGTTTTGAGAGGAAGGAGGGGGAAAGAGCAGGATTTAGAGTGAACTAAACACCCACCTAAACTCAGCTAATCCTTGGTTTGTTTGGAGAAAAAGGTGTTTGTCTAAGGCTGAAAAACTATATGATTGTTATTATACTGTACATTGTTGTATTGTCATATAATGCTGATGC